CACAGCCCTGATTAGCTCCAACATGAATGTTATTATTTTATTATTAGCTATAGCCGCTAGCTGCTACCTTAATCATAGCTTAACACAGGGCTAAACTGCTAGCAGTTAAAAAGCTAATGTTAATGTGCGCAGCAGCTAGATTAGCATTAGCAACTGTTTAATGTTCCAGTTTTGTGAAAATGAGGGCTTTGCTTAACTTTAGAAAATGTTCAGTGTTGTGAACTATGAGTGTAAAAAACTCTTTTATATATCACTCTTATATAGTCATGCGATACGAGATGGATAACTGTTCCTGTGTTATGAGGGGCTGAAGTCGTGTATCAACTGCAAGAGCCAAGACAGCGCTGTTGGTATTATACCAATTTTTAGTATCGATTATTAAATTATCTGAGTAATGATTTTTTTTATTTTGACAACCTTACCAGTGAGCAATTTTTATTATTACATGAGTCAGAAAAGTTGGACATTTTTTGCTTTTTTAAAATGTGGAATTTGGGAGTTTTTAAAAACTAAGATTCCATACAATTCCGGCCCTTTTTCCAAACTGTAATAGAAAAAGTTTTCCTGAGTTCTAGAGAGTAACTTTATGATACCAGAATCAGCAGTACAATCTCACATGCAATCTGTTACTAACAAGTGCACCCACTCACTAATTAACTGTATATTCACTGGCTGTGTTAAGCAACAAATAATCATCCTTTTCACCAACTCCTCCTTCCCTACGCCTCCTCTCTAATCTTCCTCAAAGACAGTTGCTGTCTCCAGTCAGCTCCTGAGTGGCTCTCCACAGCAAGAACACTAGCACTGTGTTCTTCTTCCACAGCCTGAGGGGATTCAGTCACTTCAGACTAGTCAAATTAGTCATAACCCCGAAGCTAAGCAAGGAAGGTGTACAGTACCAAGTTTTCTTTCATGTCTGGTGCGTGTCAAAGCTGGGTCAAGACCAGGAATACCAGAGGGAGAGAAAAGGACAGCCATGAGTCCACCTGAAGCCCTGTGGGTGCTGCTGCTGCTGCAGGTCACTGTCAGCTCATGTAAGGTAAGGAGACACCGTGTGCCCAACTTATCCATTCAACCTTTGTGTCAAATGAGCCAAAATTTAACTTTAAAATGGTTCTAGAAAAAATTTGATGTACTCTGATTTATTATTTTGTTAACCAACCTTGTGTATATCTCCTGGTATTTGCTGGACATCCCCAAAATAGTTTAGCCATATTGCCTACATGCTAACAGTTAGAGCATGCTTTTTTTTTTTAAGGGAAACATATTTATAAGTCACAAAAACAGGACTAAAATAAAATGAAATAAATTGACTGAAAGAAATAAAATGCTTTATATAGATCCACATCTTAAAACATATTAGATAAAGAAAATATTGCTGACAAAGGAGTTTAGCTCAAAATCGACCTCCCAAAAATTATATTTTTATAGATTTGTTTTGCCAAGTTTTATGCTCAGAGAAATCACGATCATCTATATTTATTGTTTGAGTTATTTTTATTTTATTATATTATAGTTTTGAGTTTTCTTCTTGTTTTGATCTGTTGTACTGTATTGTTCTGAGAAACTTTGTCGTTCCGCTCTACTGAAAAGATGGCGATGATTAGTTTGTAAAAATGCAGAGAGGCAGCCACCTGAGTCAGTGACCAGAAACACCCTGAAGGTGTTTTACACCACTCACTTGTCATGTTGGCTCTGTTGTTGCCCTCCTCCTCCTCATGACTGTGTAACCTTAAGTGCAGCTGATTGAAATATTCATGTTTAGAATATTTGCTGAAGGAGATTTTATGTATAATCCATGTGTATTCTGCAGACTCTTTATCTAGAAAAAACAACAATGAGTATGTTACTCCTGATGAGAACAAAGGCGCTATAAAATATTTAGTGTTGGTTAGTTAAATTGTTGACACATAATTGCTCGAGGCAGGAGACGGGGAAGAGCCGTGTCCTTCAATAGCTCTTGAAGTTGTTACAGGGCTGCTAGTTGTGCACTGCAGTCTGTTTAGCATCGCGGGTGGCCTTTTACAGCTCAAAAACACCAGCTTGATGTGTCAGTATTATCCTATTTTCATTAGACTGAACTAATTACAAACTGCAAATGTCCATTGCTAAAAATGTATATCATTCAATGATCTTGATCCTCCTCTTGACCGGTGATTAGCGTGAGGCCTATTTGACACTATTCCAATATTGTGTTTGATCCTTGCATTACATTTTCATACACACGATGAATTTACAGTACAGTATACTTAGTTTGTGTTTAGTTCTTTTGTTAAGCTTTACATTCATTACCATATTTTGTAGACTTCATCAAAAATTGCCACCTAAGTGCTGTCCTAAATACGGTCAGAAAAAAATACAGTGAAATGTGTCTCATGAGTAAAGGATTCATTTAGCAGTGTCACTGTACAAATTAGTTTTACAGTTCAGTTCAACTGAAATTCATTTATTTAGCAACAGCTCACAACAACACTCAACTCAAGCCACTGTTGTAAGAAAAAAAAGATGTATATGCAGGCTTTTAAAAAATAATGTACACCGTCTTTCACATTTAAGGTTTTATATGTCAGGTTATATTAATTAAAGGGAAAAAAAAAGACTTTACATGGGTTATTATAAACATCAGCCAAAATGCAGAACACTTACTGCTTCCATAACAATTAAGAGTAGCCAGGCGCTGCTGATCAAATACACGTGATTAACTGATCATGAGTGAGTGCGAGCGCCTCTATAAAAGCAGATGTTTCGTCAGTTTGCTGGTCTGGAGCATTCAGGTGTGTGTTAACACACTGCCAGGGAGGAAACACAACAGCAATGATTTTATAGACGCAAATGTTGTTGCCCATCGATCTGAGAAGGGTTATAGGGACCCTTAGGGACATTTCCAAGCAATTTGAAGTCCATCGTTCAACATTGAGAAAGATTATTCATGAGTGGAAAACATTCAAGGCAGTTGCCAGTTTTCCCAAGAGTGGATGTTTCTAGGAATTTTACCTCAAGGTCAGTACTCAGAGAAACTGCAAAAAATTCAAGAGATTTCCAGGCCTCAGTTGGCATGTTAAATATTAAAGTTCACAACAGTATACAGTTTAAAAAAAGACTGAACAAGTATTGCCTGGCTGGACGGGTTACCAGAAGAAAGCCTCTTCTTTCTGAGAAGTTGTTTGGAGAAAACCAAACACAGAATATCAGCACAAGCACATCATACCAGCTGTCAGCTTTGTTGGTGGAGGGCTGATTATTTGAGCTTATTTTGAAACCACGGGACAAGTCACTCGTTCAAACATGAACTCCTCTGTTAACAAAGTATTCTGGAGTCAGCTGTCTGTCTGACAGCTCAAGCTTGGCCCAAATTGGGAAATTCAACAGGACAATGATCCCAATCTACAAATTAATGGCTGAAAAAGAAAAGAATCAAGGCATTGCAATGGTCCAGTCAAAGTCCAGAGCTCAACCTGACTGAAAGACTTTTGTGGACTTTAAAAGAGATGTGCATAAAACCAGTGAACTGAATTAACTCTGTCAAGAAGAGTGGGCTGAAATTCCTTCAATATTTTTCTATGACAAAGTCACACAGAAAATTATTACTTCAAGCTATTGCTTTTTTTAAGGTTAGGTTTAAGGTTTTTCTACAAGCTACTAAATCTTACAGCGCTTCTGCATCCTGGCTTAGATGTTATTAAATAGATGATACATGACACGGTCTAATATGTAATGTACACCCCCCACCCCCCCACCCCCCAAATCTGTTGTGCAAACCTTGTGTTTGTGAAGCACAGCCAATCACAGGGAAGAGAAGGGAGACAAAATGTCATGGCTCAAGACTAACAAAGGGGATTGTTTTGAACTACTAATTGTGCTAGTTAGCATAATAATGACACTTTAATTTTTTACAGCCTGCAAGGCTTTCATTTATTCATTCATATAAATAAATAAGCAGGGCAGTTAGTCATTTGGTTTAAAAAAGTGCCAGAAAACATTTTTTTTTAAAGAAACACAGCTCACCGCTTCACAAAAATGAAGACAAACTGTGGTTGTAAGTTAAACCACTGGGAAAATAAAACATATCAAGCTAGAAAAACTCATCTTCATTGCAAAAACAATCAATAACAGAACAATAGTCTGAAGAGTAGCAGTGTTGCAAATGCTGCTGATAGACAGAGTGGGTACCAGGAATAAAAGCCTTCAAAATGCACATAGAGACTTAGACTTAGGTAGTATTGTGTATCGTGTATACAGTAAGTATATTATTTAACTGGGACACAGTTAGGCTTTGTGCATAAGTGCTGTACCAACTCCTTTTAATCTGCAGTCCCCAGCAGGTGGATGCAAACGTTGTAAACATAGTGGCAGAAGTGGTACACAGGCTGAACTTTATTTTTGGAGTTTGTTGCTGCCATGGAAATGCTGCAGAGCCAGATCAAATAAAGCATCTGTACATCTTGTACTTTCTCTGAAGTTTTGATCAAATCCAGTGTAAAATCTCTTACACAGTTTGGTTGTCGGCAGGCACCGAGGGCCACATGGTGGCAGTGTTGCATCAGTGTGTGATTTACATGAAGCACAAATGCACACACGCACGCACACACTTAAGGGAGAGGTCAGTCCAGATCATTGTGCATTCCTGTAGGCGTCTGCATTTAATCAATATCAAGGAAAAGATGGGGACATTGGACAGAAAGGAAAAAGAAAGGTGTTGACTGCAGTCAGGATGAAAAGGGAAAATTAAAGGTCAGGTAAAAGAAGAAGAAAATGGGTATGGAAATGATAAAAGAGGGTGAAAAAAGCAAGAGAATGGGATAAGTGTCAGATGAATATTCTTTTTTTTCTCGTTAGCACTTTTTTTGCGGCGTGCTTTTTTTTTCATTGAATGAAATATGGTTTGAGAGGAGACTGTGGCGCTTGGATAAAGAAGTGGAAGGAATAGGTGAGAGTCTGGGAGAGAGATGGAGGAGTGTGTCTGCGAGAGAGGGTGGAGGAAAGGCGGGAGGGAGGGAGAGGCAGAGAGTTAGAGGATAAATGAGAGAGCAGCGCTGGCTCAGCCACAACGCCTCACTGCCAGACGAAGGAAGGAGTCCAGGAAACACACACATACACACACACATATGCACACAGCTCAGACCAGCTGTTTCCAGGAGCACCTCCTGCAGCCTGAGTTGGATGTTTGGACTTGATGCGTCTTTGCATGGATGCATCTGGATTTATCTACTAACCTGTGGCAGTGTCTTAGACTTCAGAAGAGGGAACATTTGTGGTTTTTTCTCTTTTTTTCTTTTTAAACAAACACTACAGACCGACTGCACAACCTGTAACACCATGCTGTGCAGCTGCTCTTGTTAGAATGACTGCTGTGAACAGTTTGGACTGTGTGTGAGAGCCGGCCAGAGTTTCTGTTAGTGTGTGTGTGTGTGCGGTGTGTGAATGTGTATGCATCAGGATGAGTGTTCCCATGTTGAAAATTGGAGCGGTGCTCAGCACCATGGCTATGGTAACTAACTGGATGTCCCAGACCTTACCGTCGCTGGTTGGACTCAATGGAACCATCATCTCCTCAGAGGGCACGCATGAACGGATCGTCAGCGTACGTATTCATATTCATATGACTAAACACGCACGCATACACGCTGTATCTGTGCACTTCCAGAACTTCGTCTTCATCAAACGATAGAGATGCGTTTTTGTTGTCACTTGAGTTGTGATTTTCAGCAGCACCTTCACATACTTCTCTTTTCTACACAGCAACATCCACTTTCAGTAAATATAATGAGATAAGCTCTCCTTTGTTACATGATCTGTAATTATTCCAAGATAAATGTCTGCTTATTCACTGTAGAAGAAAAAAAGCCCCAGCATCTAAGATATCTACGATGACGGGGGAAGTAAGTCAGATTCAATTATCAAGATCTTCGGGGATATTTTAGCCTGCATGCAGCAGATATTTGATCCGTTCACTGGTGCAGAAAAGACATGAAAGAAGGTAGAGGAAGAAAAAAAAAACGTCAGAGCACAATTAGAAAATACACTACAGCAGGTGGCACAACTGAAGAATAAATAGCACTAATGAATAAATAAATAAATAAATAAGCTTTTATGAGTCATAAAGAACACATGTACAGTATGCACACACTGCTGCACACACACACACTGCTACACCCACAGACCGGTAATAGGATTGCTCTTTCTCAGACTTACTGGGGTGATATTTCTCCTAGGGAAGGCTGACTCACCCAATGGGACAGCCGGTGATTTGTTGCCCTAGCAACCCCCCTGGCAACCCGAGACATGGGGGATCACTGCACGCACCCTGGTTTCTTCACCCCGTATGCGTATCCTGTGCGTGCATTGCCGTTTGTGTGCGTTTGTGCGCACACTCAGGGTTTGCATGATTTACCTTTCTGGCACCTCGCATCTGCTGCGTGGTGGAACTTTGCAAGTTCAGCAAAGTGCATGTAGTCTCATGCAAGCAGGTGCCCACACACACACACACACACACACAGAGACCGTGGCTGAAGCAGATGGAGATGTTAGATGGGCAGTGTTGCTACTGCAATAGTTGACAGACAGTTTCTAGATGGGAAATGTCTGAAATCTGGCTGTTGTGTCTCTGTCATCCAGCTTAATTGCACATAAATTTAATTGTTAGCTACATCACTTTCTCCAAAGTGTTTATTTATTTATTTATTTTTTGCCAATTGTGCTTCCCCGGAGTCTTATCAAATGAACTCAAATGCTCTTTAATCAGCACTACTTGTCAGGTTCTTATTAATTTTAAACTGCATGTTAATTAAAACATGAATTGTATTAAAAGGTTTTTCTTTTTGTTTTTTAAGATAAGGCTCGCTAATGAATTGGTGCTTTGTTCAGCTTACATACTGAGTAACAGAAGCATTTCAATGGATTCTTTATTGTTTTAAGCAGCTATTGTAACTATTCACTATCCTCTGACTCTTTAGCATTTAGTTTAAGCTTAATTTAGTTTTTATTGGTCCTTTTTAAACTGTTCTATTCATTTATTTATCTATTTAGCCTGTTGCCACAACACATTTCAGTTGTTGGCCTTTTACGTTTTGCTACATAATTTTATTATATTGAGATTAATGTTGCAGCGTTTCTGTTACCTGCTTTGCCACGCTCAGTCAGAGCATTCAGTGTTTATGTGTTACCGCTGACTCACTATGTGCAGATTTTTCTTATGTCATAAGAGCATATGAAAAAAGAAAGCTTCTATACAGTCTATTCATTGCAGTGCTAGTCTGGGTAAACACACTCTAAGCTAGATGGTGTCAGTAAGACTTTCCTGTTTTTCTCTTATATAGGATGTTACACACATTTTTCTGAGTTGCGTACGTCCTCCTGTCTCCTCAGCCTCTTATCAACAATTTGTCAACTGCAGAAATGCGTCTCTGTTTGCTCCGCGCTCTCTGTATTTGCTCTGATCACAATCAGTCGAGCTGCCTGTGTGGATTTTTATCATTTTTCCCTCGTGTGAAATGAGCCCCGAGGTGCCATATGTCCTCTGTTTAATTACATCGAGCAGGAGGCACAGCCGATGCTCATACATTCAGCTCATTCACATCTTCCTCTTTTTAAACCTCAACGCTCGCGTCGTCAGCTCCATTGTGAACATTGTGAAGGTTACCCCTCTGAACCCAGCTGATAGATTTATCAGATGTTTCCCTCCAGGCCGCCACGGTCCCCCCTCCATATTTCCCTCTCGTGCCTTCATCCTCTCGGCAGCCTCCTTCTCTCGTCCTCCTCCTCTGCCATTATTCTTTTCCAGGGTTTTTAGGGCAGCTCAGTGTGACGGGCTGTGAGTGTCAGATCAAACTCAGCCGTTCCTTTACATTGTTCTAAAGTGTTATCACTAAGTAGGTCAAGCTGCAGACCTGGATAAACCTCACAGTAATGAGCTCGTGATTTAGCATCTTCTGTGTTTTTTTTTCTTTATGGTTTTTAACTTCCTCTGCTGTTACTTGCTTCCAAATGGTCAGCCCTCTGGGAACAATCGGTGTCGCCTCAACCTAATGAGTCCAAAATAACCCAAAACATAAAAAGGGTCTGATTATATAACAGCTTAGACTGTATTTTTCAAGTGCTAATAATTGCCTGTCCACTCCTCTGTGCTGCAGTTTTTAAAATCACCTCAGCAGGTTGCATTTGTGCCATTCTTTAGGCTACAAAAGATTAAAAATAGGATTCCCCTATGGTGAGGCAAATAATAACTTTTTATTTTATTTTCCTACTGTCTGAATAACAAAAAACAAAACGTACATACTATTACACAAGCAGGAGTGCTGACATTTAAATAGCTGCAAATGTACAGCGTTCAAACAGAGTTGTAAAGGAGCCACTTGAAATGCCTCTTAAATGCTAGAATTCGCACACGGTGTGCCTCTTAAGCCCTTTCAATGAAATCTCTGTTTTGTTTGTTCCTCGTATCACGATGGAGACTCTCTGATCTGAAACCCATTGTTTGATTCATGAATTAATCCTTTTTTGTCTTAAACCAAAGCCCCTCTGATTTCGTCCCCCCCTCCCCAAATCAATACCAAGGACTTCCATTAATAATAAGCACAAACGTTGTTTTTCTTTTTGAACATTAAAATCTCTATTCGACCGCTGGCCTCGTCTCTGAAGAGCACCTGATTGTGGATTATCAACACTAATCTTCTGACCCAGTGCTTTTTTTTCTTTTTCACTTTAATCAAATATTAAATTAATAACTGGATTTTAGATCCTCATGGGTAAATTCAAGTGGTGCATGTTAAAATAAATATTGATTTTAAAGTGATTTTTTAAAGGATGTCATAAATGCAGGCCCCAGAATCCTTTCATGTTGAACATGCAGACTGACCCACAGTGATTTGATTAGTTATTGAACTTGGGCCTGGTTAAACATGGACTGTTTAGAACTGTGAGATGTGTAGTGAGAGGACCCAAATGCAAGATGCAGGGAGGCAGAATTCCAATAACAAAAGGCGAGCTGTTCATTTAGGCTGTAGCGAGAGCCAATAAACTAAATAGCAGATTTCCACAAACAAGGCAACAACATGGGAACACAGAGAGAAGGTACGACTACAGGCAGCTCAACAAAAGACTAAGGAGATGCGGGACAAGTTATACACAGAAGGCTAATCAAGGGAGGGAGGAATATCAGCTATACAATCAGCTAGATGAGGACAGATGGGAAGTAAAAGCAACTGTAAAACACAAGAGGCAAAGGATTACCAAAGTAAAGCAGGAAATGAAGAATAAACAAAAGAACACACTGGATATGTATAAGTTTGACAGAAGCAAATATAAAACATTAACCAGAAGTAAAACATGACAAGTACTTAATGCTCAGAAAGCTCAGGAATCAATGAAAATCAAATCCTAAAAGCTGAGATGTCAAACTCGTTTTACACTGTGGACCACATGCAGCCCACTTTGATCTTAAGTGGACCGAACTCGTGAAGCTCTCCTCTCTGTCAGTGCAAAGACATTTTATTACATATTTAGTCCCTGAAACACTTTAATTTAAGGAAATGAAGTGCAGTTAAAACAACGTGTCTCAGTTTTTCTTCATGATGAAGAAATGATGCGGAAGTCTGTCGTCACCAATCGTTGGCCTTAAATTTTAAGACATAAATGTGTAAAAATAAAGAAAAAGTCCTGTTAGCTCCTGTAATTATAAAACTGAACATTTTTGTTAAATGACAGATTTAGAAAAAACAATAACTTTCTGTCATTTACTTTGGTATCAGAGGCCACGGGGGGCATTTTTATTAGTAAGAAAAGCTCTAAAATCTACAAAAATATTGTTAAAATTCCCAAATGTATGCTTTCCTTTAAACTTTACAGTGCTGTCCCATGGGCCAGTCTGGAGTCTTCAGCAGGCGTCAGGCCTCATGTTTGACACACCTGTCCTAATAACATTAAAGAACAGGACAAATTCTGTCATATTATAATTTCTTGCTGAAATCTCGTGGTACGGTTAAATAATACGTTTATACTTACTGGCTAAACAAGAGCTGAACACGAGCTTATATCTGTGTGTGTGTTTGTACCAGGCTTGTTTCACACATTAGCTTGCTGAGGTGCCATCTATTAATAGCCAACTCGTACTACTAACTGTTGTTGAAGCCAGTCTTGATTTCAGTCAGATTTGCTTTATTAAGTGATCCACAGAGCAGATAAAAGTACTTGTTCATATCCAGAGGGAAGAAAACCTGCTAACACAGCTTTACTCCTTTTTTATCAGCTTACCTGAAACTACTGAATCAACAAAATGGCATTGATCTCTCCTCCACCTCTACAACAGCCAAACCACACTCAAAACCAGATTACTACAGTGTTTCCTGTTTCCCTGCTGTTAGCTTTGTGACAATGTTGTTTAGCTAATTCAATTTTTATGTTTTCTTTATGTAAAAAAGAGAATTTTCCTCATACACAAAAGAAAGTTCAATCCTGCAGTTTATCACAAACCTGACATCGTTTTTACTCACCAGGACGGTTATGAAAAATTGTAACAGGAGAAATAACTTGTAACTATAGTAAGATAAATGTAGTGGGGTAAAAAAAAAAAAAAGCACTATAAAAGCAATATTTTCGTTTGACTGTTAAGTAGAAATTGAAAGTTCAGTGAAAAACCCCCACTCCATTGCAGCAGGAGGACCTCAAATAGGCACTTAAGGACAGTACTGGAGTAGACGTAATTTTGCAGCTGATAGTTTTATAAGAATTGTGAACGTAATGAAACCACTTTAGATGAAAAAATGAGCATTTTGTTGTCCATGTGAATGAACACACAGGTGCTTTTCCTTGGATGAGCTAATGTCATTTAGCAGTTCAGCCATTTTTATGATGAGATTCATTCATAATAACTTGGAACACCGTGTTTCCTGCTGCGTAATACTGTGGGGGGAAAACACTCTTTTATGCACTTTATCTGCAGTTTTCACATTTTACATGGCAATCCAGTGGGCTGCTGTAGACCCCTCTTCTGGCAACGCTTTAAGTGGAAAAAATAGAGATTATTAACTTAAGAATAGTCATCAGATTCAGATTGAATATAAATATAGGAATATTTTGAATACAACTGTATATTACTATCTTTTAGACACAGGAAACCATTTTCCCTAACATTCATGTTCATGATAATTCATTTGTACCTTTAGGTAAATTTGTTCTGCAGCAGTGGGTCATCCATCGTCATATTCACGCTCTCAATACAGGCAGAACAGACAACAATTGTACATACTACTATAAAACAATGACTAAAAATACCTTGGGCTTCATGTCGCCCCCGCTAAGGGAAAAAACTGTAAAAACTCTCATTTGTTCATTTGAGTAATGGCTGCTACAGCAAAGCTATTTTTAACTTTTGTTGTTTTACATTTTGGGAACAGAAGCGTTCGACCAGAAGGAAGAAACTGGAACTGTCTGGTGTGCAGGGATGCTGTGGTTAACCAGTCAGCCTGTTAGACCACTTAACAGTTTGATTGAGTGAGTTTGTGTTATTTACAGATAAGAATCCAAACCACGACAACAAAGAAAAGGATAAAACAGATTCAACAAGAAAGCCTTCTCAAACATGGGAGTCGCTGGTGCCCCTTCTTGCACACAGCTTCACAGTTTGCTTTAAAATCAAGCTTTGGATCAACAACTATTCAAAGGTATTAACATTAAACACACTTCACAATCTGACCTTTAATAAAAGTAGCTTTGTGTTTAGGAGGGCTTTTCCTAAAATCAGTAATCGTGTATTTAATCTTAGACGCGTTCAGCTGAAGGCAGAATATTTATGAGTCCTCACTGAGATAATAAGACAATGCAAATTAAAAATAATCTTATTTCACTGTTACATGATCAGCTCCTTGTGTTTGTTACCTTCCAATTACGTGTTGCCAACAAGGAAGTTGCAGAGTGCCCTCTGGTGGACAAACTATGCAGCCTCAACACTCGTAACATGGTTAAAATATTTTTTCCACCTCAGTTTCTTACCTTTTAAATTTTCATTATGAATGCTGATGCCAATGTATCAGTCCCAACCAATATATTGATCAGGCTCTGATTTGTGTTATCAAAATCATTTGTACTAGCTACTGTTTCCAAGGTGTCCAGAATATTATCTAAAAGAAAGTCAGGCTTAATTGGATTTATCAAATCTATCAAAAACATTTTCCCTCAGTCGCTGTGATCACTGTTGAGGGTGTTATGATATGTAATGATTTTATGTTGAATCGCATGATTCAATAACGGCTTTGCTTAAGAATGAATACATTTCCTACTTCCCATTTACAGTAGGTGCTGAAAGATAAAAGTAGGCATACATAAACAGATCATGGGAGATGTGCAGTCATCATTTGGGGAAAAAAAAAGCTATTTTGGTGTAAAGGTAGAAATAAAGATAAGAGGAGTTACCGCTCTGTGCTTTTTTCTTTTTCTTTTTTTAGGAGAATGTAGTCGCTGTTAAATCTCAGTTTCGTAGCCTTTGAAGTGTTTGCATGTATTTTTTATTTTCAGCCAACACACTTCTTTTCAGCGTCTCAGTCTTATTCAGGTCAGACTGCAGTCATCAGGGCTGAACAGATATTTCCCTTTTATGTCGTTATTGTCGTAGCCGGCACGTAAATCTCTGCGTGATCTCACCAGGATGCGTCTCGTGATTTAAGCGTCTTTTTATGTTTGTCAGACGGCGATTGCGCGCTTTCTGTGTTTTCATTGGGCTCGACTTCACCAGAGACATGCATTTCCAAATCTGAATTTCTCATTTGTTGCTAAAATCAGTTGTGACGTCTCCCACATGTCTGTGTCCAGGAAAGCTAGCAGCATTACTGGAGAGTTTCCACTCTCTGCCTCCACGGACGGAACTGCTGTTCTCTCTGGCAAAAAGTCACCGACTCCCCAGAGCTCCCACAAATCTGCACAAAAGATGATTTCTACCCTGCAAACAGTCCACACCAGTGCACAACCAAACATCTACGAGCAACCACTTAATCTCTTAAAACTTCAATCATCAACTTAAATTTTAATCACTGATATTTGCTTTCTGTTTTGTTGTATTATTATTATGCAACGTCAAAGCATACGAGTGAGTTCATAGCACTGAAGCTCTTCGCTTTAATCTCTAAATGTAGCATCCGGTTTTCAGATTCCTCTGAAAACCCCTTTTTAAGCTAAATTTAAATCAAACTGACAAGGCAGAAATAAATAACCACCAATACCTAAACCTCTGCTTTTTTTCCCTCTTTTTCTTCTTTGTTTCTTGCTGTTTTCACAGCTGAAGAACAAAATGTGTCTCTCAAAGATATTCGACATTTACAAGACCGTGAATGTTGAACATCATCACCCTACATTCATCAACAACTTCAAATGAATGTAAATGTTGCTCCATCCATCTCTGGATGTTCATTGTTTTACCAATAAGTTTCCTGCATTAGTGCATTTACACATTTGTTTCCTGCTACCTGGCTGCAGCATGCAGAACAAAAAGGCATTTTCACCATAAATCATTTAATTCCTCCCGGTTTGATTTGATGGTTTCAAATGTCAAACTTGTGCATTGTTAAATGTCAGTTTTACACATTTTAACTTTCCATTGTGGTTAATCTAATCTGAGCCAGACGTTTTAGAGTCTTTTTACTCACAAAAACAGACCCATGGCCTGCCATGTCACAGAAGCATAAAGTAGTTAAGCCAAGGAGCAATGGTGAGGTGTTTATTTGGTAATGGAAATAGTTGTACTCCAGCTTGTTGTGTACATCATCTGCTCTGCTAATAGGTGATGAATTTGTTTGTTGTTCTGTTTTGCTTTCTGTGCTTTCCTCTGCTCACCCTCTCGTCTGGTAATGTGTTATCCCGCAGTGACTTCATTAACACCGGGCGTGTTTGTGTGCAGGGGCTGTACCCGGGCTCAGAGGAAGGCTGGCAGGTGTACAGCACGGCCTCGGATCCCGACGGCAGGTGCATGTGCACGGTGGTCGCCCCGGCACGGAACCTCTGTAAACGAGACCCTCGGAGTCGACAGCTACGCTCGCTGACCGAGCAGGTACGTGTGCATTTGTGAGTGTTCGCCTCGCGCCTTGACGTTTCAGTGGTCAGCATTGACATGCGGCACGGGGCAGAGGCGGTGTACTGGAATGAAAATATTCACTGGACTGTCTCTTTGTTTTGACACTTGCAGAAACACACATGAACAGACACACACGGGCTTCGCTGACAGATGTATTCCTGATACATCAGTAGCCAAATCCTCTGTAGACTGCCAGTCATTCAGCATGCCAAAAGAGTTTAAAATCAAAGAAAGAAACGCTGGCAGATGGGTGGGAAAGAAACACTTTGTTCTGTGTCGTGGGTGCAGCTCAGCATACGACCATTTGCGTGTAACTGCTTGTGTGTGTGTACATGTGTACGAGGCTATTCAGTTTATGTCTGTGTCCTAAGAGAGGGTAATAAAAGTGATTTGTGACAGAAATTGATGAATTATTGAACGGCATCAAGTAAGCAAACATTTCTGAATGCATTCACTATTCTCAGCCTCGCACACGACGGCACATTTTCTCACCAGCGCTGTAGTAAACCGGAGCACACCAATGGCAATATCACAAAGCTTACTACTCTTTTTGTCCTACACTGGTGCTGTTACATCCTGTTCTCGCTTCACACAAAACGAGAGAGAAATGAGAAAAAGGTAGATGAACACTATCAGAAATAACTCCCTCTTCTCTCCTCGCTCTGCTCTTGTTGAGAGTCTTTTGTATTTATGAATCTTAATCAGCTCAGCATGTCTGTGGAAGTGACACCTAGATCCCGCTGTGAGTTTGTGTGCGGTGGTGTGAGCGCTTATTTTTTATTTTTTTGCTTGTCTGGCCTCCACAGAACGTGTTGTACAGGAGATGTGTGGGCGGGTTTGTTTGTTTGTTTGTTTGCATATCACTCCTGAATATCTGGAAATATCTGGGTCATTTTTATAATAGATTTTTTTTAAACACTTGTTCTTCATTCAACATTAAAAGAGATTTCAAATGTGTGGTACACCCTCTGCCTGGTTAATGAGACGGGGCGTGAGTGGGGGTTGTTTTTTTAGAGCAGGACACGAAAGGAGAGGAACTTCTGTTCAAATGGACCTAATGAGATCTAAGAGAGGGGAACAGGGGGTCTGCAAACTGTGTGTCTTTGTATCATATTGTTGAGCAGTGAATGGGGGATGTTAAACCCAAAGCATGAACTGCTTTTAATTTAAAAAGCATATTTTCCTCACACTCTTTTATTTATCCATTTTTATTTATTTACCTGTCTATTTCTATTTTCAGTCAGGAGCTAAAAAATTTTTTTTTAATGTGGTGCCTACAACTTTAATGAAATAATAATAATAATAATAATAATAATAATTATAATAATAATAATAATAATGATGATGATGATGATGATGATGATGATGACGATAATAATGATGATGATGATGCTGATAATAATGATATAATAATAATAATAATAATAATAATGATGATGATGATGATGATGATGATGATAATAATGATGATGATGATGATGCTGATAATAATAATGATATATTCTATTTCTACGCAACTTTAAAAACTCTCACCACCTTCCTTTAATACAGAAAATTAAAAACACATACACAATTAAATTAGTAAATAAAATTAATCAATTATTTAAATGAACAATTAAATAAAATAAACACATAAAACCACAGAACAATAAAACTGCTCACCATACTGTTTGCAGATTACATTTTTAACCACATGAACAGAATGACTGTATTTAGCACTGTCTGTTGGTCACTGCTTTAGACTCAAATATCTCGACCAGTTTGGAAGAATTGCTGTAACCCTTGCTGCAGATATTCACGGACCCCAGAGGTTATCTCCGATAACTTTGGTGATCCTTTTGTTTTCATCTTTTAACATTCAAGATCTGTTAAATCTGCCAAAAAAAAAAAACAGCCTGTTAGTTTTGTTGGTAGAATTTAACTCCAAGGATCACTGTGTCACTGTACAGTGCTGCAAAGTTTACATCCAGAGTTGCTAGCTTGATTGTAACTCTGTCCCTTTGTTGCATATAAACATTATGTAGTATATTATGTATACTGGGGTTTTGGAGTCCCATCACCATTATCCACTTATATATCAAAGGTAGGGTCAGGTGACTAAAGCTCCATTCACACAGTGCCAGAGACTGGTTAGTGACCCTTTTTGAACCACCGGTTGCTAGCAAAATGTTTATACTCTGGCCTGTTGGTGAAAACCTTCTTATGATTGCCTTTGTCACCAGCAGATTGCTGTGGTCACCAATAGTTTGTATGGACCTTGCTGGCATGTTAGCAAACACTTGCTAGCTACTTTCTGAGAGGTAGTAAAACTGTGAAAAGTGCGACACAAACTGTAAATGGAGACTAGTTGTCTTCAGAGTAAAAAGTCTGCCCTTCAAATGTGTTGGAAACGGCACTGTGGCACAACTTTTAGATTAAAGCGACCGTTTACAGTTTGTGTTGCACTTTTCACAGTTTCACTACTGCTTGAAAGTAATTTCAATCTTCCATGCAAACAACACGTGACTGTGGCAGCCTGCTAACGACCAGAGCAATCGGAAAGAGGTTTGTGTTGCAACGCTCTATTTATAACTGATTTCTCTTAGAGATTGTCAGCAACGTCCAGAAACCACTTGGCAACCAGTTGGTGAATGCACATTTTTTCACTGCACAACAGGCGGTTGTATCATGTCCAGCATGGTGAATGGCTCTTGAGGAATATGCACATGACATCACACGAGAAACCTCTAGCATAGTGCGTGAATTCTGCCAGGGTAGTGTTGTCTCAAGTTGAAAACAGCAAGCTGTGAAGTGCTTAATAACAGCTACGATATTCCTCTTCAGTGAAAATGAAAATTTAAAACAATCACCAATGAATCCCTGAACACGTGTAACATCAGTGTCTGAAAACATCTGCAGCTGTTAGCTAACATTAGCATCACTATCAGTTCTGACAGCTTGTCTTCCTCCTGCTGCCTCCTCCGTCTTGGTTGGTGGCCCGTGTCACTACTAGATCCATAAAGGTGTATACCTAGATGGCATTGCATCACCAGGGGTGGGTACTACAAAGTAAGATTACTGGGCTAGCAGGCTTAACATCAGAGTGTACTCTGTCAAGAAAGTGGCTCAGTTTTTACCAAGCTAATTCACCATGGTAACTTACATTGAACACATAACCTGGTCAGGAGCAGGTTCTTTCATTTACAGCATGTTTTCAGAGCAATATATAGTATCTGCTTAGAAAATGGAGTATTTGTGTAAGTAGTTGTAAACCTTACTAATGTCAGGAAAGAAGCCAAGGTGTAGGTTAAAGCAGCTCAGACTGTGTGCTGCATTGTCATTAAAATGTGCATGTATTGATTTTGTGATGCAAAAAGTGTATAAATGGCTTTATACTTGATTTAAATTCACTTAGTTTTACAAGGGTAGAATTGCAGCAACGAGAACACACCGCATACTTTAAGTATATCTATTCAATCAATAAAATTAATTTTACTTTGATCAGCCAGTAAACTGAAGCAATTTCCACATCTTTATCACATCTTTCCACTCAGTGTATTAGGCTGTGGGACAGTAAGCTATAATGTTTAAATGTATCAGTTTTAAAGTCTCAGAACTCTAATATACAGCAACCACTTTAGAGATAACTAGCAGCACTGAGAGCCCACTCAGCTGTAAAATTATGAACGCACATTAAAATGTTTATTTTAAATGATTAGCTAAATACATAAATAACCAAGTTAATGATCTTCTATAGAAAAGATCTGTTATTCTATTTGCTGTTGAGTTTTTAGGGTCTCTAAAGAGACCAATTTATCATCATCATCTGATAGCTCCTCTGACTGAAGCAGGCGTTGCTCATAGGGATCATTTTGTGTGGTAGAAGGGTCAAACGCTCATTGATTGTCATTTACAAGTCGTTAGCTAATGAGCATACTCCAGATAATACTTCTTTCTGAAACATAGAATTACCAACATTTAAAAATTGATCTAATTTTTTTATACATTATGTTTTCCATAGACTTCCATAGGACTTTGTGTCCCCTCTGTTGGCCATTAAAAAGACAAATTCCACATTGGTTTTACTTTTCAGACCTGGAATCTTTTCTGCTGTCTGTGGTACAGACAGCAACTACGTGGCTCTTCCTGCTCTTTCATTTCACAATAAAAGTCCTTATATACATATACATTATAAAATATAAAAAATAACATAAAATAATAAGTAAATGATTATTGAAATATAGCATTTGTTTTGTTGGTTTAACATTAACATTCAAACCAGCATGCAACAACTTTTTTTTTTGTCTTTGCTATGCTAGTTACCATGGGGGGTTAAAAATTCAGTGAACTAGCCCTTTGTTTGTCATCATATCACCACACAGCCATATTTGTAGGCAAACAACAGTTGTTTGGAAACAAATAACAGGTGCCAGTAATCAGACAGCAGCCAAAGCCAATCATAAATATCAATGGAAGGGACAAACAGTAATCACTGATGGTATCAGCAGTGTGTGTGTGTGTGTGTGTGTGTGTGTGTGTACATCAGGTCCAGAACGTGAGTCAGTCCATGGAGGTGGTTGACCTGCGGACATCCAGAGACCTGCAATATGTTCGAGACTCTGAGCCACTGCTGAGAGGAGTGGATGGACGGTTACACACTTATGTGGCCAGTCCCCGCAGTCTGACAGCTAGGAGCCTGCAGGTAAACACACACACAGAAACACACACACAAACAGACACACACACACATACACATCAAGTCGCATACAATGCAGACAGTCGCTGCAGGGAACATATAACCTTTGGTGTGAAAACATTGATTTCACGCATGCCAAGCTGAAGTTTCTTGCCTGCTCTCAGACACGCGAGCATCTTTCATCAAGAGGACAAAACTTGTCTTGAAGCTGTCAATTCGCTGGCTTCATGTCTGCTGTGTTAAAGTGTCGCACAGCCTTTTTTCTGAAGGTGCCAGTAAAACTGCAGCATCACTGCACACATTAAGGCTTCAAGCTGTCATAAAAAAAAAAAATCTGTCTGGAAAGAGTCTGAATTTTAATATTAATGACCAGATTAGAATAATATTGACACACAAAAGCACAGAACATTTTTTTCTGCATTTGTCTTTTATAGTTTGTTCCTTGGTACTTTAAATTTGCAGTAGAGAGAGAAGATAAGATTGCCTTCCTGGATAAGTATTGTGTTTTACTGAGGGAAATCTGAATGTATTTCACTTCCTAAATTAGGAGCACTAATCTCATTAGGCTTGGTGCTTTCTGCCATGATGCCACTGGCAGGCGCCTGTGCCAACAACAAAACATGGGGAGGGGTAGTGAAAGATTATTTCAAGAGCTGCAGAGAATGACAGGCCGTGGATCTCAGGAGGGAGAGTTGAATGATCTAAACAGTTAAATCAGCTGTGAAACGGCTTCTTTTGGCAGCTTAATGACACTGAAGTGGAAGCCTAGCATAACCCTGCACACTGTTTACACATGGATGTAACTTTAAGCAATGATTTAGGGACTTTCATCTCACGGGAAAGATAGGCGAAAACTATATGGTAAAGTATGGTTGACATTTTTCCACATTTAAGGTTTGTTAATCTGCTGCTTTAACAGGTTTTTTAGTCTATATTAAGTTGATCAGAAATGGATGTAAATGGATTTTATGAATGGAAAGTGATGTGAACAAGTAATTATTTTCTTGTGTGATTTTAGATAGACAGATAAAAGTAATAAATAAAACAGCCAACACATTTGAAATATGAAAATGTGGTAAAAAATCATATTATTGTGCATTAAACAGCTGCTGTAAAGTGGTTGGTTTAAAGGACCTCCTGGAGCGCTCTGACTGAAGGTGCTACTGGTGATAACCTCTTGGGCGTGGCGTGGTCATGTTAGCTTTAAGAGCATTCTTCTCTCTGCCACAACAGTGCTGGACTGTTTCAAATTCAGACCTGACCACAGAGCCTTCTTAATAAGTTTGTCTTCTCTGTTCCTGTCTGCTGTGCGGTCTCCTTCATCCCAGCAGGCCACAGCATAAACAAAGCACTGGCCACCATCATATTGTCCACACTGCACAGCAGGAGTGGAAAGGCTTCAGCCTTTGTCTCTTACTGTACCCCGCCTCCATATTGTTCGTCCAGTCCAGCTTATTATTCGTCACACCAAGATACTTGCAACTGAAGATAACTTTCACCTCGATGCCTCAAGTGTCATTTATCAGCATGTCACCGGTGTTCTTTACACTGTTGTTTTCATTTATTTAGATTTGCAGGTATTTGTTTTTATGCACAGCTCTCTTTTTGTGGTTTTCTTCATATACCACACTGCAATACGGCCAAACATCTCGACTTTGTTCTTGTCTGTCCAATAGACATTGTTCCATAAGTCTTGTCTAGATGCAGCTTTGCAAACACGGCCATGCTCTGACATGATCCAGTGCTAATTTCAGTTCACACAGTTCTCAAATGCACTGTAAAATAATGAAAACGCTGTCATAAAACTGCACAATCCCATATTCACACACACAAATAACAGCCCTATATTACAGTGAACAGAGATAAACTAATACAACAAGCATGAAAACAACAATAACAAACTAATGTACATAAGTTAATAACATTAAAGGTTTATATCTTAAAACACAATGAGAACAAGTTCACCAGGAAGTTATTGTTATTTCAGTTAATTGGACCATGTATATAAATGTAATAAACTGATATAATAGCAATCAATCTTAAAAATAGTTGGTCAGTGCTCTTATTCATTAGATTTCTACTTAAAAATAATGAGTATTTTCACAGCCAAACATTTGAATTATTTGCTCTTTCTATCAAATTACCTCACTTCCAGCTTTGAAAAGGTAACATGGGAGGGAAAAATGCTTAAAAGAAAGGTGACATAAATGTCAAACAGAAAATGTTTAAACCTCAGTTAAAAACGACACAGATCCAAAGTAAACATTGTAATTCGACAGTCATTTTGAGGGGTCACACACAGCACACATTATGCACAGTAAATTAGATCACGGGGCCAAACTGTCAAGCTCTGCTGTAACGTCTGCAAAACAACATTCGTGCAAACACCTTGACTTTGGCACGCAGCACAAATTTGGCTCCTTGCTTCTGCATCCTCTTCCTGAAAATGAAACAAAATGTCACCTTTTCGACACAGTGGGGGAGACAAAGCATGCATCGCAAATAGTCAGAGCAGGACTTCCCGGGAGCGCTCTGAGGCTCACAGCTGTTGACAAAAAAAGACAACCTGATGGAGGATAGCAGCCAAATATAAATCAGGTTATTTTGTTTTGTTATGAGCACACCTAGTGGCCTCAGTTGTTGTCATCTTTAGACCCTCTACTTAGAGCGTGATTTACACAAAAATACAGCCTTTCACAGTCATAGTACCTTAAAGGTATACTTAATAGATGAATAAATGCAGAATAAACACGGGGAACGGCATTAACCTACATTCTAATCTTGGAGACCGTTTGGATTTTATTACATTTAGATTTTATAACAAAATGTAAATAAAGAACAACGAACAATGAGGCAAGCAGCTGCGAGGGCATTTATGTGTACTCAGCTTAAGTTTGCAGAATTTAAGGTTATTATCCATTTCTATTCGTGTTTATTTAAAGAAAACTTTTTTAATACAGCATATTTACACTGGAAAAGGAAAGAAAAGCTGTGTAAATTTGAAGGAAGCCTTTTTGACTCAACTAAGCGGTGAACTGTTGTATCAACTTGATCTAATTGTGTGTTCAGTGACTAATTCAACTGAAAACACTTCTATTGTCCTGTTCAAATGGCTAATGAAGTAAGGCCTGTGCTAATTCGGATTAAAACTGATAATCTACTATTGGAAAGGTAATTGCTTTTCCACCGTGCTCTCCAACTGAGAGGTGAACTTAGACAAATATTCACACACATATGTGTGTATGTGTAGCCTCAGGAAGTATAACCTAAATTCAGTAGGTGATAGCTGATCGAAAGACTGCCATCCCAGTTCATTCAGAACTGATTGATACTCGGGTTATATTTGTGAAATATTTGCTTGCTCATCTTGTCAATGTCAGTAATTCCAAATTTACAGGTGAATCATTTCAATAAATGCAGTTCTATTTTATTTTTATAACGCCAAATCACAACAACAGTTGCCTCAAAGCATTTAATATTGTAAAGTAAAGACAAACCTCAACATTAAGGCGACCCTCAATGAACAAGTGCTTGGCGAAAAATACTCTTTTGATAGGCTTTGGGATCCGTCTGTCGTGACTGGTCGGGGGTGATTGGAGGAAATGGGACAAAAGATGCAGTACTTCACAGTCCTTCACAGTCTTATCATGGATTTATGAAATATACACTTAATATTCTGTGGTCCCACGAAGAATAGTTTTGTTTTTAGTGTGTACAAGAAATAACCCTCCACAAACCATCTTGTCCGACTGTAATCCTCACCATAACCCCAAACCAAGTCTTCATATTAGAATTCATTAATAATTAAGAATTAAAAATATTTAATTCATGCGGACTTTGTCTACAAAAGGGACGCAAGCTCCACACTGTGACTGTACACACAGAATTTTTTTTGCCTGCTCATAAAAAGCAGTAGAAGTACACACACACACACACACACACACACACACACTAACCCTTACTTACCCCAATAGGGCATATTACCGCCTCCCCATAAATCCATTCTGCCTTTCATCTCTTGCCGAGCATATCTTAACAGCTGGGGGGGGGGTCTGTTTTTAAGTTTTTATATAGTTGGTTTATGCATATGCGTGTGTGTGTGTGTGTGCGCATATGATTGTTGCTCCTGGGGGGTTTTCACAGTCATAAGCTTTTGCCTTTGCACTGAGAGGAAAGACTCCTGAATATTTATGTGGAACTTCAGTAAGTTTATCAATAACTAAACAGTATTTTTAACCCATGGAGGAAGGAAACAAGGGTGGAGGGTGGGAGTGGAGAATGGGATGTCAAATGGGAGTCATAAACAGAGAGAGATGGTGGAGGAAAGAGGAGGAAAGAGACAGGAAAGGAAGCCTTATTGCACCTAAATGTTTCTTGGTGGGAGGGAGGACATGAGAGGACTGTGCAAGGAGAAGTAAGAGGGAAAGTAAAGGTTAAGCAGAGACTGGAGGAGAGATAAAAGTGTGAATCAGGAAGGGAGAGATTAGAGAAATCGAGATGAAGGCGGAGACGTGGCAGGGGAGGGATTAGCCAGGTAAAGTGGTTCACTATCTAACAAACCGTGGCACCTTTGGCATTTTATCAAAATTGGGGTTTTAATGAATATTTAACCAACTTGCAATTATATGCAAAGAAAACACTGCCAATATCAATCAGCGGTGATGATGTAGTGAGCTGAAGCTGCTTGGAATTACAGAGTTTTCACGCTGTGCTCTTGTGACATGTAGAAATTGGAAAAATGCGTCGTAGCGATGTTGGAAAAGTATTCAGGTCGCGATTTCAAGACAGCAGGGGAGGGATTAGATACATAAAGTGTTTGACTGACTGCCAACTGCTGACTGTTTCCTGGATATGTTGTTGTGTTTGTGTGCGGGGGTGCAGAGATGTTATGAGAAGATGATAACATTTTTGTCTTCGCTTTTGACACTTCTCTTTATCCTCCTCTCTTTTCCATATCAAATCCAGCTCTTTATTCAGTAAGCTGAAAGAGAAGATACATCTAAGTATCAAGGCTAAAAGCAGAGATATAAAAGTAGCAAATAAAAATGTATTGTCCCTCTTGCTGCAAGCACAATTGTTTTATATGCTATCCATATTTTTATTGATCTCCATTTAAGCTGATTAGAGGGGGAAAGGGGGCCTTTCTGGCCCGATATGATCCAGAGTGCATTTTTTTAAAATGAGAGTTTTCCTCCATCCATTTTATGCTGCTTATTTGGGTCACGTTGCCAGAAAAGACTTGCCCAGACGTACTCTCTTCCAGCACATCTTCCATCACCTCCTGTGGGACTGTGAAGCGTTCTCAGGCCAGATGGATTGTGCAGTCCCTCTAGCATGTTCTGGGGGCGCTTTCCATTCGGTTAACGTGGTTCTCCGCTTCCCTCGCTCACGTCTGTTCCTCGGGGAGAGCAAAGAGATGCGGCGACAGAGGCAGAAATGAAATATGATGTGCAGCATCTCAGCTGCCAAATGCGCAGAAAGAATTAAGGAAGCAAAGTAAATATTCTTCTGAACCAAACTCAAAGGAAACGAGAGCTTTATGTGTTTCAGTTCATTTCATTTGTCTCCTACCAACCAGTTTATCAGCAACAGGTAGACCAGGGGGCTGCCTTGTGACACAAGGATTGTCTCAAACATGTGCTCAGTTTTCAGCATCGACGAGTGAACAAAAGGGACAGTTGAACAGATTCATTTGAAACATTCACAGGTGGAAGGCAGCACAACGGGAGATTAAGGATGACAAGGAGAGTAATCAGCCGAATGAGAAACAAACCACTAACCCTGTTAGACATGCTGGGATGAGGTCACCCTTACGGGGCACCCTGACCAGTCCGGACACATAAACTGCCTCAAGTGTGCCTCAAAGGATGGCACTACGCCAAACTACAGCAACCGAAAGAGAAAAATAATGACTGCAAATGGCCTCTCTCACTTTCTTTAACTCATTCACAGGAGTTAAAGGGTCAGATGTCTCAGCTACGGCCCCTGTTGTCAGTGGTGGAGCAGTATCGACTGGATCTACAGACGCTGGCCACCTTGCGGATGGAGCTGCTTAACCTGTCAATCGTCCTGACAGCCATCCAGGAAGAGATTGGAGCATACGACTACGAGGAGCTTCAGCAGAGGGTCCTGTTGCTGGAGACCAGGCTGCACAGCTGCATGAATAAACTGGGTACGTGCTGGGAAGAAAGCAATAACAAAATATGACTTGTACTGCCTTTGAAAGTAACTCACGCGTTTGCAATTTGAACATGAAAGCGAAGAACGTGAGCGTGCGGGGGGTGGAAGCACGCAAAGGAGCACTCCACAGGTTTACACATTCAAAGATTTATTTATAACAACGATTCATCAGTCTGCAAAAATAGTTCTATAAAAAACTGAATTATAAACAAGAAGAACGTTCAGGAAGAATAATGGAGGGGAGTGAAGTTTAAAAACATGCAAATTTACCACAGGGAGCGAAGAAGGAGTGTAACAGAAAATAGGACCAAGTTTCATCAAATTAGTACACAATTTGCAAAGTCAGGCCTACCAAACTAGGATATACCCAACTAGCTCACTTACACTACACCCAAAGCCCCTGGTGATGTCGTTTTTAACACCTTGACTCATGCGATGACGCTCAATAGTGGGTCAAGACTTCACTAAACAGGATATTTAGGGAAAGATGCATACATACATAAGGAAAATCTGAGCTTGAAAAAGATGACGTTGGGAATACAAATTAAGAAGTTGGAATAGCTTACTTAGAAGCAAACAGGACCAACTGGCAAAGGAACAAAGGGACGCAGGGGAGTACAAAGTGGACATACAATCCAGTATCATGGCAAAACGTGTAATAGACATGCCGGTCCACTGTGTCCATTCCACAATTTGTCTCTCCAAAACATGAAATCGACTTTACCGCGTGCAGAAATTGCATTACCAGCAGGGGGAGATAATATATTTAAGCCACGAAGTCAGTAGTGAGCAACAAATGTATTAAGTACATTCCAGGGTCCTTAATTGGCAGAACAGATTAAGCTAGGCGGCTAATGTGCGCTAATGTGTATACATGCAAAGGTGTTAATAAAGTCTGTTTAAGCACTTTCCCGTGATAATTTTCATGTTGGCTTGAAATAAAATATTTTCCTCTGCTGTTACTGCAACTTCTGCATGCACGTACATTTCACGTTTTAGAAGGCAAAGCTCAATGTGTCTGTTGCAAGCTTTGTCGTGATATCGGGTTGGGATATGTGCAGCTTTTGCAGAGGAGCACATGGAATATCTATAGTGAAGTAAGACTATGGTTTAGGATTGAAGAGATTTTTGACGGATTCTTATTTTATTTACTTGGTAAGAGTTGAGGGTGTTTGTTCAGTAAAAAGAAAAAAAGGCGAATAGCCATCGGGTAGTAACATGCGGAGACAGCTATGGGGAAACAGATGGACATTCCCGGTTTCCTCTTTGTGCTAAGCTAGGCTGCTGGCAGTCGCTTCATTTTTACTGGACAGACATAAGAGTGGTATTGATTTTCTCATCTAACACTCCAACGGGCAGTGAATAAATATTTTCCACAAAATGTCAAAGTATTGCTTTAAGAGCAGCAGAGAGTGCTCTAACAACAAAGTCTAACATGGGGACAGAAACAGAAGTGCGTCTATTTAGGCCCATTTTGAGGAAAATTGAAAAGCCGGGACACAATAAGCCTGTTTGTGGAAAGCATACAAGTGGATGCTGATGTAGAAATGCATTTTTCCGGGAATGTTTTGACATTGGGTTTGATCTAAAAAGCTGTCTCTGTTGAGATCCATTATAACTGATGTTAATTCAGGTGGCTGAAAAGGCTCTATTAAAACTCTCAGTGAAATAACCAGCTCCACTTTTCAAACCTAAAAACGGTGTTTTATAGTTGGAATAATGTGCATGCGGTATCACTGTGAGTGGGCAGTTTCATTTACCTGAAAAACAAAATTTCTTAAAGTTATTATCTAAATGATTAAAACACCCAAATGTATTCTTCTGTGTTATCTTTTCGAGAAATAGAAGCTGCTTTTTCACAGCTCACGCCTGTGGCGTCAACACATTTTCAAGTTTTTATGAAGCATTGCTGAAGTGAGTTAAGACTGGTGGCAGGTGATGGCTGCTCATAAACCAGCTGGCCAAGTCACCTTGACGACGAGCATTACTCAGACCAATCCGGATGACATGAGCACAAACTGGTGCTCCATCTGCATTATCTTCTCCATGTGGCTGCTCTATGCATAAACAACAGATCTAGGATGGAGGATCTCTGCCTCAGAGTTTACATGGTTCGTTTATCATTTGTTAACAGGATGTGGTCGTCTGACTGCCGTTAGCAATCCCATCACTGTGAGGGCCTCGGGATCCCGCTTTGGCTCTTGGATGACTGATGCCATGATTCCCAGCTCTGACAGCAGGGTAGGTGTACAGTGTGCTTTGTCTTTTTTCTGTTTTTTCTTCTTCAGTTTGTTCCATAT